CAGAGGCTCCATGCTCATTAGCTATAAGAGAATTTTCTGTTTTCATCATGCATATATTCCATAAAAACACTTTGAACACACCCCCACTTGCTATATATTTATGTATTTCTAAACTATATGGCTATGCCATAGCACTGTTACTTATTTTATATACCTTACTACAATAACAACAACAGCAAAACTGACATAATGAGATAGAACATATATATATGCAGCAAAGTTCTATTTTTCTTTCCTGCCCTTCAGTGGATCAGCTTGTGTATTCCCTGGGGAATGCTTTGGAGACTGCTACAATTTTGCTGTGTCTCAGTGAGAGGAACTGATTATATTAAATGCTTTCAATTTTATGATCAATTGTGCATTTTCAAATAACCTAGATCGAAACACCAAATTATAGTGCATGATGCTTTGGGGGGTCACCTAGACCAAGGCATTCCTTCCTCCATCTATAGGTAATACTGTTGGCTACTGATGACTCAGAGCTGAGTTAACATACCTCCATCTCCACTCCTGTGGCCCTTATCCAACGACTGGTCAATGTGAAGAGAATAAAGACCCATTTTCTTGTCTTAATTTAGGTCAACCTAAAAGGGCCCTCCCAGCTCCAGAGTTCCTACTGGGTTCAAATGAGGCTTCTGTTACAGTTACGGTATAGTTCAAATATTTCTTGTGTGTAGTCCTACTTCCTCCAGTCCCTTAGTGATTGCAAAGGTAATATGCCATAAACCTCCTACGTACAAATCTCTGTCCCAGAGTCCCTTTCCTGGGGACTGCAACAATGACACATATACATCAACATATAATTATACTTATCTGGTTTGCTTGTATGTTAATTTCCTCATCAATTGTTTATTGAGAACTCAAGAATTAATGTAACATACTAAATTTTCCTAACTCCTCATTAGGTTCTCATAAGAAGAGATTAGTTTCACCTGGAAGTCCTATTTTTCTTATGGGAAAGGAAAGTTCCCCAGGCTTTCTCCATGCTCACCTCAGCCATCTGTCTCGGGCTCTAGTCCAGTTCTAAATATTCACTCACACACCTCTTTCACTGTCACTTCAGCTCCAGACCCAATCTCAAAACTACTAAGTTCCAAGAAATGTCTCAGAACTTGTCTCAATAAAGCACCTCCTCACTTTACTTTGTAGGTTGCTCTCTGAGGGAATTGATTTAATTCACTAGAGGCTGTGAGGTTTAACTTACTAGTAGTTGTGGCACCATTTTCTCAGTGGAACTTATTTCTGATTCTGCCAACAAAAGAGAGCTCCATTTTCTTAAGGTACCAGTCATAATATAAGCAAAGTAGCCATTATTATTGTCACATAGAGTGGAGAAATCTATGGTATTGGACACAGACCCCCATGTCCTGCTTACACAAACTTTATTCAAGATACAGAAACTTTCATAAAAATGGAATCCTAAGAATTGGCCACATATGAATTTAAGTTTGACAGAACAGTTATGAAAAGCATATCAATGACTCTAGAATACTTTAATATTAAAGTATTCTGTATTATGTTTAAGTATAGTTTCTGACATATAATACTAAAAATAAGTATCAACTCTGTATATAAAGTTTTGCTTAGAAAAACTGAAAATACATGCATGTACAAATTGTTATATAAAGACCAATAACTAAAAAAAAAAATAGTCCTTCTTACCCCAAACCCTAATAGATTCAAAATGGACGTGGTCTTTACAACATTTAACATATTTGTTTCTAATTAATAGTATAGTTCAATGAAATATTCTTTTGATATCTTCATGCCTCACATGCCATGTATTAAAAACAGCAGTGTAGACTAACTTAATTAAATATTATTATTAAAGATAAAACAGGAGTATCTCAGAAACAATCATTAAGTAATTGTAAGATAACATGTAAAAGAAGACAGAAAAAAATGACAAGAAATGCATATTATTCATTTATGACAAGTTTAAAGTCTTACCTGGAAGGTGAATTTGGTATATTCCATGCTCTGTGATGTGTTTTCTTTAATACTGAGTAATTCTAATGTCTAAAGCTTTTTATTTGAGATAAAGCTCATCCTGAGATTCTCATCATTTATTGAAATACTGAGGCTACGGCTCCTTGTCACAGATATAGACTGCCCGCCCATTAAAACACAGCTGCACATTGACTTTATACGAAAAGCACTCAACCAAATATTTCCAAAACCCTATATTCAAAGTTATTACAACACCCAATTTTAGGTAGGGTTATCAGATATGATTCACAAATTTATCACATAAAATGGAAAGCAACCACTTATTATTTAATATCGCGTATGCCTGTGGACAAGGATCTGCACTTACCTGGATAACATGCTTCAGTTTATCAATTATCTGATTTATCACGGGGTCCGTTCCTTTGACTTTGACTTCAGGATTTCCAGACTGGGCTTTGATTCCATTTCCAACCACAGGCTGATTATAGCTAAAAAAGTGAACAGTGAAAAGTGTGTGACTTGGTAATCTTGTCAGAGTATTATCTGCCCCAACTATATGAACAGAGTTGAGCTCAGAATTTCACTCCTTTAAGAGTACACAACAATGTATTTTTTCTGGAACAGAACCTGGAACAGCTACAGTGTTTTTCCTGGAAGAATACTTAGCATAAAAAGATTATTCTAATAGTTTTTCTTAAAGAGCCCAATAAAAAATTAGTTGTTTTTAACACTACTTACCAATATACTAGAAAGAGTTAATACACATATCTCATTCTGTTACCAATTCTAGCTAAATTATATATATATATACATATACATATATATGTGTATATATATGTCTGATTCCATGTTATCTTCATTTAACACAGTATATAGATAAGTCCCAATAATATTCTTTACATATTGGACTACAAAAGAATCATAAATGTATTTTAACTGCATAAGTCAAAATCAGAAATATTATAAACAATTAAAACTGGCAAAATATTTTGCAAACTAAGTACAATTTGATTTCAGCACGGTTCACCTAAAGGTAAACTACAGGATTCTAGTAAATCACATTGTATGTGAAAGGGTGATTTCATAAGCAGTGAAAGTCATTGCTAGTCACTACCTTCCCCAAATAACAATCATAAAATGTCTACTTAGTATTCATACAAATATTTAAATTTATTAATTGTAAAAATGTATTAAGTGCTTCCTATAATATTCAAATCCTGTACTAGATAACTGGGATTATAAGGAGATATAAGACTCAAAATTCTTGTCCTTACAATGCTGATTATCTATCTGGGAACATAATGTATCAATTAACATGTTCATTTATGCATTCATTCATTACATTTCACTATATTTAAAAAAATATCTACTAGATTCCAGCAATATAATTATCCTTATTTCTCCAATAGTGTTGTGCAGTATAACAACAAGTGAACAGTTAAAATGCAACATTATGAATGATGGAGATGTTTACTATGCAATGGAAACAGCTAGAAGAAACTATATATGTGAAGTGCAAGGTAGGGTAGTAAACAGTGAGCATATGGGGAAGACCATTTGGGCTAAGACAACTTAGAGAAAATCTAAAGAAGTTATAGCCTGAGGTGGCCCTTGAAGTGTTAAGGTAAGAGTAGGTCTTAGATAGCATGGTCAATGAGGATTCCAGGGCAAAGGATGACATCTCAGCAGGGGAAACGGCAAAGGCACATGACCAACACAAACAGGAAAGAATAAGTAGCTTATATTTACAAAGAAAGAGTAAAATGAGGGAAAGTAAGAGATAGAAGGTTATGCCTTGAAGATTTTATCCTCTATGTTTAAAACTCTCCTCTGAGTAAATTTGTTTGCTTAAAGTATCATAATAAAGTGGCCTCAGAGACTTTAACAAACATTTTCACATGATTTTTAATTGATTTTCATTTCCTCTATTTGAGCAAAGTATCACAACTATTCACATTCATCCTCTGAATTTTCTACAGCAATGAAAACTCTTTGAAAAGATAAAAGGAGGTTCTACTGATGAGAACACCTTACAAAAGGAGTTTCAAAGTATATTTAGTTCTTCCCAAGATTATGCACATCCAATGACCAATTTTAAAAAGTGGATCAAAGAATTCCCAATTAGGTCCTTCTAATGATGATAAATGATGGAACACTGACATTGATAATATCAATTGGACATAACAAAAATGACATTAATAAGTCTTTATTTTTTAAAACATTGAAGATATTCTTTATCTAGAAACAGAGAATTTAGAGTTAGGCCTTCCAGTATACATTAAGGACTTCGTAGTATATGCCAAGAACAATTAGTAGAAGAAAAATAATTATACATGTGCTATTAATATCTAATAATATTCTTCGCTTAAAAAGAATCAAATAAACTGTAAACAGCAGGTTTCTCAACTTCTCTATAGCACTGTTAAGTTTTTCTTCCAAATATTTCAAGGAGATTGAACATGAGGCTCTTGTATTAATGTACTGATTATTAATAATGATGAATAATATGAATAAATATCTATGATTCAGATATTATTTTATTTACTTTCAGAGAATTTGTCAATTCATATTCATAATAATTTGTTGTGTCCATGAAAATGTGCCTCAGACCTCAATGTACAGGAAGCTTAATTGACTAAAGGGCATCTGCTGCTTTGCTCTGAAATCTATGTCTGCATCTGCTACCAACCAATGACTGAACACAGCAGGGATACTAAGGCACGTCCACCACTGGAACACACAGGCCTCCTCAGACAACGATTCTGACTCAGGATTTCTTGAGGCTCTTGCTAACCCTTCCTGAGACTGCGCATCATGCTAGAGGGCTGCCACTCAACCCTCCCTTCCTCTCTCCTTCACTCTGGGCTGCACTTTCATGACCAGCAGCTCTTCTGGCCTTACTCAGTTTCCTCCTCATTTTCTCTTGCAAGCATTTCTCTTAATAAAATCCTATTGTGTTTCAACCCTTTTTTTGGCATCTGTTTCTTGAAGGACCCAGACTAATATACTATATATGTACTGTAATTATTCCCATTCTACAGATTGGGGATCTGAGATCTGAATAACTTTCCCAAGGCCACACTATTTATTAAGTATGCAGCAACAATATGAACATAGGCTCTGTGGTCTCCAAAATACAATCACTCAAATTATTATTAATGAAAACTACAGAAACCAACTAATACAAATTAAAGTTACAATTAGTTTGGTTCAAAGCATTGTTGATGTTATTAGTATTATTTTGCTGTAACTACTGCATTTTCAAGGGCTTCAATGCTTATAATATTTTTTTCAAAAATCTCCTCAACAAACTGTTATTTATTACCAGCTAATGAGTGAAATAACAGTTTCTGTCAGGGTGAAAAGAAACTAACAGACTACAAGTTTGTAATAAGGTTTTTCTGTTTCCCTAGAAATAGACATAATGCGAGTGATGGAAACTAAGACTCACCTCTTAATTTTAAGTAAACTAACACTGGTTTATATCTTGTTTTATTTATAGACCATGAAATTTTCTTTTAAGATGCAGGGATGTTGTTTGACATTAATCTGAAGAATTGCTCATTTTTTCCTTAATTATCACAATTAATAACAGATAAAATTTGTCAGAATTACAATTGATCAAAACCCTCATTCCAAGCTAGTATAGTATAGAATAGTTCAGAATCACTATTTTTATGTATCATTTAAATAAGGAAAAATACTACAAAGTAGGACATCTAAGATACTATAAGTGAAATATAATTTGATAAAATTAGTTATAATTTTCTGTTTTTATAAGGTTAATAAGAACCATAATGCATAATGCACCAAAGTGATTTAAGTAAAAAATAGAGATGATACCAAATGTGAACACAGATGTGGAACAATTGGAACCCTCTCTGTGGATGAGAATGTAAACTGATATTAATCACTATTTGACATGTATGCTAAAACTGAATGTATCTTATGACTCTAAGTACATACATATTCAACAGGTATAAGAATGCTCAGAGAAGTATTTCTCAAAATAGCCTCAAACTGAACACAACTCAAATATCCATAAACATTAGCACGGACAAATAAATTATAATATATTTATATAATGACGTACTATATAGCAATGAGAATGAATAATTTACAACTATAATCAAAATCTTATAAGCTAAATATTGAAAGAAGATATAGAACATACTCTATGACTCCATTAATAAAAAATTTAAAAAACTAATCAATGATATTTCAAGTCACCATAAGTGCTATTCTAGGAGAGGGTATCTAAGAGGTTGAAGGAGGTTTCTGGGGTTCCAGTAATATGTTTCTTGAGTTAAGTGCTTATTACATAAGAATGTTCATTTAATGTTTTTTCAAAAAAAGATTGAACTGTACAGTTAAGATTTGGATATTTTACTGTACGCATGTATTTTCAACCTAAATAAAACATTAATATGTACACCACAAGCAAATTTACATTCAACAATGTATAAACAAAAGACACACATAGGTACTTTTAATATGGGCTAATTGGCTTTGTCACACTAAATGAGTAATTTAAGATCCTAACCTGATGTAAAAATTTACTTCCTATAGACCTCAATTTGCATGCAAAGCATATGGTTTCTAAATCAAATAAAATCTTTTTCTACCAAAGACTTATTGAGTTTTTCTCATTATGAAATTTTAATAAATCATTAATCACTTTTTTCTCCTAAATGTACAATTAATGGATAAAACATTTCAAGGATACCTACAGAGGTTTCTTGACTTGAAAAATTGCTCACATTTCAATGAGAAGGAGGAAACAAAACACAAAAAAAGAGAGGCGAATTTTTTGTTAGAGAAGTAACAGACCTACCATCTATTCTTATTTCTTCCAAGCAGGTCTAGTAATGGGTGACAGCAGTTTAATAGAAGTATTTGTTCCCAAAGTACGACTCATTTTTCATTAATATGGAAAAAGGCAAGCACTGATATATTTACATTCTATAAAAATGTTTTAAAATGATGATTAACAAGACTCCAGTTCTCTTTCTGTTCAACATATGAAATATGAAAAAGAAGTGCTAATAAATCTACACACAGTATGTTACCAGGAAGTCGTTTCTCCTGACTTTATCAACATTGCTTGTTTGAAATGTACGCTATATTGGCTGTTATTTTCACTTTATTTAGAATAAAATATTATTTGTTTCAGATTCACATCAAAAGCATGTTGTTTTGATACGAACTTATATAATTGCAGGTAGAAAAATATCTGGACTCTGACCTTGGAATACATTACAAACACACCGTAGTGTGTTTGGCTCTGGTAAATATCTTGTCATCTCAGGTTGAAAAGAGGTCTGAGCATTATACTGTATGTATTCATCAATGAACCTCTTCCTCAGGAACAAATTTTTTTTTCAAACCATTTCTGAGCCTCCCTACCTGGCTCTAGTAGCTAATGTGAGAGTGAGTACTAGAGATTTGTGTTTTTTTTGTAAATGTCTTCGAATACTCGGGTGATACT